TTGCTAACAACCACGTTCATACTGACATTATCCCTCTCATCATGGAATTAGAAGTGCTGCTCAAACAGGCATGCATGGCAAATTAAGACAAATCTCATGCGGCTTTGGCTCGTTGAAACTGGGGAGCGCGTGTTAGATTATGCTTTAAACGGCGATGGACGCTGAGGCTGCGCGCCGACGCGTCGAAAGGTGTAACGAACGACAAGATGGGCTTCCTGTTGCAAGATGGGCTCCCTTCCTGAACGGCTGTTAAACTCAGCTGAGATCGGCGATAGTTCGGTTTCGTTTTAGTAACGAAAGTTTAATTGAGGTGAATGTCAGGTCATTGCTCAAGTGGCAGCAAATGCTCAAGCTTTAAGCTCTGCCCATCGTCAGTACGATTAACAGTGTGACATAAACTGCCCACACTGAGCTGGTAAACTAATGGACCAGATGAACTTTCCTCTGGGGCTAGTTTCCTCAAAAACTCTAACTGTTTTGAAAAAGCATGAGCAAAGGGACTCTCAAAATAAAGTACTCAAAAACAGAGCCTTTCTAAATTGAGCGGAAGAGAGATGACACTTATATGCGAAACTGGGCCCAATAGTCCAGGTCCCTGGATCCTGTCCCCACCCCCTTCACATTTCAAGCGCGATCTCCAGCCTCGCGTGACAGATACAGTGTCGCTATGGTGCGGAGCACCGAAGCAGCTACCCTCAGTGGGTCTGCCTGTACACAGCTCCAGGCTCACCAGTGCCGAGCGCTTCACCAGCTGAAGCATACGGCTACGCGACCTCGTGACGTGTTGACGTCACCAGCCGTCATCGTCGATGCAAACGATTGTGATCGCGCTTGTTTCCTGGTTCTCGCACTCAGTGACGCTGGCGTGCAGCCCCACCTGTCACGCAGCACCAACCGTGCGCCCAGCTCCGGCCGTGTGGGCCGCGTTCCCGGTAGCGCAGTGCCGTGTGTGCCGGAAGTGACCGGGCCACGTGCCGAAAGCCCAGTCCGACGCGGTGACGCCGACACAGCCGCCGGATGTGTTCCGGATGTCGCGGCGTCTGGTGCTTACTTATGGCATCCGGGGGCTGCCGCTGTTGTCATGGTGACGACAGGAATGCGGGCGGAGCTGCATCGCCGCGAGAGCAGGCTTCATGTTCGCCACCGCAGACAGCGGTCTCAGATGGTCTGGCCCGTCGGCTGACGCTGACACGGTGTGTGGTGGTGAGACGAGTTCCAGAGGCCATAGTTGGATGGTAAGGGGAGTTCATGGGGGATATTTTCTCTGTCCAATTCACTCGCTTCCCATGGGGTTGTCCCCATACCAAACCGTTGCACATTCCTAACCAGCTTTATCCACCCGTTACCCATCCGTATGGATCTTATTCAGTGGTTAAGTTATAAACTATAGCGTTGTTTACGTGTGAGAAGTCAGCAACAGTTTGATCTTCGTATTCAACAAAACTTGATGAAATCGGGTTTACGCTTTGACTGCCGAGGTCGCAATAGCTCCAGGACTGCACCAAAAGAACTGGAAAATCTCGATCACCAAGGGCTCAGACAAAAGAATCACGGCGACCGCTCCATGGTTAAGGTCATGTCAGTTCACATGATGACCTCGCGCAAAAGCGTAAGTGGTATCTTTGCAAACAAATTGCAATACTGCTTGGAACGATACCAGTTGCAACATCAAATGATGCTTAGTTCCAAGGATAAACTCATACATGTCGGGAATTTATCAGTCTCTGGCACGACACGTTATTTCCCGTTCATTTGGACACGGGACACTACAGGCTGGAAAATACCAATCCTTTGAATTTTTAAATGCATTTCAATTGTGCAACATCGCAGATAACGGTCTCACCTCTTGCCTTTTCGCGACGTATCAAAAACTGCATCCTCTGGAGGCCACCGAATACAAGATCGGTATTCCGCATCGACGAATAGAGCGTGCGTTGCTGGATAAGCAGGCTACCATAGCATGTTGAAGGCGAACTAAACCTCCTTCGGTCGAATATACAGTTGCATACCAATAGGATTTAGGTTTTCAATGTAAAAAAGTGGGGCGACCGACCCAATGACGCTTAATTGAAAACAGAGCTTATCAACATCTGGAAATATTCAGTTTCTGGGCCAGTGCATTATTTCCCGTTGGCTTAAGTACGGGAGCCTACGACCTTGAAAACCCCAACCCCATTGATGTTCTTTAGAACTGCTCTAAGAATTGCTCTAAGCACATTGCACATCTTAGACGACAGAGACATGTCTCGGCTTTTTGCGAGGTATGCAAAACCGTAACGCCAAGAGATCAAAGCATCACCGATTGAGATCAAAGCAAACAGACAAGAGATCAAACAAGAGATCAAAGCAAACCGATTGACGTACAGACAATCGAAACACGGCATGCTGGATAGGCCTGGGAACGGAAAACTAGCATAATACAACCGATCCAAGCCTATTGTAGTCGGATGTGCATCATACCAAAGGCATCAGAAGTTTTGAGGAGTTGACCGAACTTAGCCGAAAAGGGGATGACGTCATGTCAGGTCACGTGATCACCCAGCGCAAATATTTTAAAATGTAATAATACATTGCCTCTTCCAGCGAGTACAGGAAATGCCGAATCCAGTTGTGCTAATTGCCTGATCTAATGACGCTTAGCTAAAAGAATGTCCTCATTGCCTGGCATGACCTCAATACCGTTCCATAACTGGTTCGATCCAGTTGCTGTGTTTGTGCTCTCAGTCACAGCAGGCATAGCCTACCACAGTGTACCCCGGCCATTTTAATGAAGAACTTGCAATGCTACTGATCCTGCACAATGCGTTTCTGTTCATGCAGCGAACAACGGCATGCTACTAGGCCGACTGAAAAGATTCTATGTTTCGCAGCGAAAGTAACATCGGAGCAGAAGTGCGATAATAAAAATTGGGTCTTACAGGAGCTTGAGCGGTTTAAACCAAAAATATGTACCTGTACCACGAATTCACCATTCTTACTACTCTACTTTGTCTTACCACCTTGCTATCTTTCTTTCATTTTTCTTAACGATCGCACATATGTACTGTGAGGATGACGAGCTCGGGCGTTGGGTCAATTTGATCCCCGGGAATCTCAAATACCATAAAGCTAGATGCTCCAAGTAATCGGGACAGGTAGGGCTCTATGCAAACTCTTCCGTTTGAACCCTCTTACATCTGCAAGTCGTAACCTTCAGGTCAGCATAGGTCACCAAAGTCCCAACTGTGTTGCATTCGCGCTATCATTGCTTGAGTTTTTAGTTGTTCCGGAATGATACGCCGCGCCGTTCGGCGTGACAAAAATACAGAATAGCTGCAAAAAGCGTTGCTTGTTGCTGGAGGCTGGATGGCTATATTGTCAGTACTTGCGAATATATAAGCCGACTGGAGGGCCCACTGGACGGGTAGGACCCACTCGTTTGGTAACAGCCAACGCATATTTTAGCATTGCGAGGGCTGGCGGACTCTACCACACCAAAACACATGAGGACGCAATCACGGAAACCCTCTCAAAAGCGCAAGACATTTTCGAAACTTCAAGCGCACAACAGAGCCATGAATCACCAGCCCAGCCACAAACTTCAACCATCGACGAAGGACTGAGTCACGCTCCATGACACCACATTACCACGCATAGCAAAGTAGAGCAGCTTCAACTGAGCGACTACAGGGACATGGCTCACTCCACCCTAATTCCTGGGAGGCGACGGGTGCCTTCCCAACCATGCTGCGAGAGATTTACATTGGAAGATGATGCCATTTCGCGCATGGCTGCAGCACAGGAAATACGCTAACCACGCTACTTCCTCTTCCTCTTCGCAGCCTCTCGGCCCTGCTAGGCTGAGGGGCGCACTGGAAATGGGGCTCTGACCAGCCTGCTCCTGGCAGTTACCCGATTACATAAGACTCAAATAATTAGGATATCGATCAGCAACGGCCACCTCTCCGCTGAACCCAAACACCCTTAACGGGTGCGGACGCGATGGTGTCAGTCTCGAGAGGCTCTCTCTCCCTCCGTCCTGGCTGGCCCGCCGGGCCGGATGGCGTGACCGCAGAGACGGGACGCTGCCCGGCTCGTGTTTCCGGAACTCTAGCGCAGGCTGCTGCCACCCTCCCCCTACCCCCGCGCGGCGGCGGCGAGTGGGCCCCCGGGCGGGCAAAGGACATCCGCGGCCTCTTTTGCGGTACTTCAGGCGGGACGTCAGATCTGTGCAAATGCTGCGGGTAGTCCTCTACACAAAGTTGTTGACAACTTAGTCGCATACGCCTCGCTCCCTGGTGACACATCATATTGGCGCAAACAAACTAAGACTTCTTAAAAATGTACTGTGACATGTAAGGCCTGACAAACACGCAGCAACTGAACACAAAGCATGGTGAGCATAGGCCATCAATGAAATTTTTAGCCACCGTTTTGTGATCGTACGCAAAAAGAGAGCATTCTGGGGTCATATCAAACCAGCACACGCCACAACCACAGCCGCTGCAAAGCTGGTCTACCGTGGCCGCTGCCGGCCAGAGGACGCCTGTCGGCATACGCGTCGGCGACGACTGTCAGTTTACATCATAGCTGGTCATGAGTCAGCCTTTGTGTTCATCACAGCGGCTGAAACTACCGCCTGGCGATGACACGCATTGCGCATCTACCCTCGAAGGCGCGACATGTGTGATGCCCAGTCGGAAGGCCAGGCAACATTCGCGGACGGTGGCGAACTAGGCATGACCAAAGCAAAACATGCAGACGACTGTGTGGATCACTCGGCCAATCACGATGCTCACAGCCGCGCAAGTCAATTGTGGCGTCCGCGTCCTGTAGACCTACACACTTTCCCACACACACACATACACACATACACACGCACGCGCGCGCGCGCGTGCATGTATCCGTGGTAACTCTGAGATCAGCCTCAGCGGCGTGCGCCACGGCCGGGCGGAGAGGCGGCCAGCCCGGCCGGCGCGGTCCGACCACGCCGTCTTGCCTCGCCCCGAGTCCGACGGCCGTCAGAGGTCGGTCACACTGCACTTGCGCGAGTCCTGGGCTGGCACCGGCTGCTGGGCCGCGGCGGCGGCGTCGGCTGACACCAGCGGCGCGATCTCGGCGTACACGCCCGGCTCGGGAGGGCGGCTTGGCATCGAGTCGCGCGGGTCGGCGTAGTCGGACAGCGGCGGCGGCCGTGGTCGGATCTCATCGTAGATGTGCTCGGGCGCCGGCGACGAGCACAGCAGGTCCGGCAGCCGGCTGTCCGACGGTAGCTCAGTGCCGCTCGTGCAGGCTGACCCACTGCCGGCGCCACGCTGCTCGGCCAGCGTCGCCAAGCTGGCCGGCGGCGCTGGCCGGCCGCCCAGCGCGCGGCGGATGCGGTGCCGGTTGACCAGCAGCACGGCCAGCAGCGCAACGACCAGCAGCGCCGCGCCGGCCAGCACGCCGTAGAAGACGACGTCCTGGTCGAGGCTGACGGCGCCGCCGGACGCGGACCGGCAGGCGGTCGCCGCGTCCGCCAGGCGCTCGGCGCCGCCGTGCTCGTCGCGGCAGTAGCCGCTGCGAGAGACGTGCTCCGCCAGCTCGCGCTGGGTGTCCGTCAGCGGCGCGGTCGATCCACCGGCCACCAGCTGACGGGCGAGCTCCGCCGCCTGGCACGAACAGTCGGCGTCGAGCATGAGCGAGTCCCAGTTGACGGCGGCGGCCGGCAGGTCGGCATGTACGGCCAGCGACCCGTTCTCGGCGTCCCCGACGTGCAGCAGGTGCACGGTGAACGGGTGCACGTCGCTGTGCTCGCAGTTGGAGAGCCGGACAGCAGCCAGCGCCAGCGCCCGCAGCAGCGCCACCCGCGACTCCACGAGCCGCACCGACGTGCACGCCGTCACGTTCAGCGCGCGCGGACCCATCTCGGCCACGTCCACGCGCTGCAGCTCCAGCCGGTCCACCTGTAGCTGGAGCGCGCCCTCGTGCATGACGTCGACGGTGCTGGCCTCCAGCAGGACGGCGTCAACGGGACCCGAGAGCGCGCGCCGCCGCACGGCGCCCAGCCGGCAGGCGCGCACGGCCACGCGCCGCCAGCCCTCCTCGGCGCGCAGGCAGCCCGACTCGAGCGAGTCCAGGCGGCAGCCGAGCAGCTCTAGGCTGGTGATCTCACCCCGGAACGTGTCCGGCCGACACACGCGCATCGTCACGTTCACCAGCGACAGGTGGCCGATGGTGGCCTTGAAGGCGTGCCGCTCGGCGTGCAGGTCGCCCACCAGGTCGAGCACGACGCGCGGGCCCGGCAGCACGCCGCTGAAGTGGAACGCCAGCCCGCCCAGGCGCAGGTACTTGACGCGGTGCAGCGTGATAACGGCATCACCGCGCCACGTGCCCGACAGCGACTCGCGGCGCAGCTCGACGGTGTGCACGCGCTCCAGGCGCAGCTGCTGCAGGCTGGAGGCGGCCGACTGCGCCAGCCCGTCCGAGTGCACGTCCACCGAGTCCACGTCCATGATCACCAGGTCCCGCAGGGCGTACAGCGCGTAGATCAGGTTTCGCCCGATCACCACCGTCCTGGCGTTGGATATGTGCACGTACTTGACCGTCTTCGGTATGGAGCCCTCTCGCAGCCGCATCTGCGGGTGGTTCGGGTCTGTGATGCGCAGGTACCGCGTCGGGCCTTTGACGTGAGACACGCGGGGGTTTGCGGCGCTGTCACGGCCGGCCGGCACCGCACGCCACTGTTTCTGGCGGGCTGCCAGTAACGACGACCAGCGGCGGGAGCGGCATAATTAGTGACGAGCGTTTCAATGAGTGACCTCGTTGAGCTGGTTTAAGCCCCTGTCGCATAGTGCCGACCATTCAGAGAGCATGTCATCCGAGGGTCCGCTGAGTAAGTGTGGCACCCAGTCATGAGGAAATGAACAGCGGCCTTACACAGCCAAAAAAGGAAATTGAAAGGAGTTCAGAGGCATTGTCTACAACGTGTGTTAAAAGTGGTCGGCGTTGCCGTGAACTGCGGGCCTGTGGTATGCATCACTCTTTCCCGGATAAAATAGCATACCGGACCATGCTGGTATAGGCAAAAAAAAACATCGCGTCATGAGGTCGTGGTGGGTTCAGAGAATGTGGCGCACAGGTGTCTGCGAAAACTTAGCAGTAATATGGAAAGAAACGGATCTAAATATTTTATAGTCCCAGTCCCTCCCCTCCCCCCCCCCCCCCCCCCGCCTCAGCGCTCCAGCATGCTAAACTCGCTTCACAGCTGGGGGCAACACCGAAAAACTTCACATGTCGGAAATGACATCCAGTATGCTGCATATAAAATGACGCGGGTACGCACATGACCAATATCCTCCCAGCTGTGCTCATCGCTCGGACCCAGGCCCAGGCTCACGTATCGTCTGCGCACCGAGCGGCAGCTGCGCTATGTGCGTGATAACAGCACGATAGCGCGCCCCATATCGGGGGCCTTTGTTGAATCACCGACGAGCCCTCATGTTCGGCCAGTTAAGTGTCAACCAACGGGAGATAGGAGATTTCATATTTTCACTGCCGACCCCGACGTGCAGCTGACCGCAAGCCAACGACATTTTTGAAACGCCCAGCCCGGTCATGGACACAGGTTAGGAGGGAAGAAGCCCGACTCGCCCTTAGCGTCGTGTTTCTTATTTTATCACCACATATCGCGCCTGGAAGACGGCTAAAGATCAGCGTTAAGAGCTACCACTGCATTGCGCCCCTATCCTCAAGAGAATCCTTGTCCCTTCCACGGACTCGGCAACGTGCGGTCAAGCAGTGATCAGCCCCACGCTCCCACGCCAGACTTCTCGTCTTACTACGAACAGCCGGTCAGCGTCGACAGGAGCTCACCTCGTGCGAGTTCGGGCAGTCACAGCTCATGCTGGTAGCGTTGCTGCAGTGCGGCATGAGGTCGCAGCAGACGATCTCGCAGGCCAGTGGCCGCTGCGCGCACGCGCCCAGCGCCAGCGCCGTCCACACGGCCGCCCACAGCCACGCTCGGCCGCGCGCCATGGCGAGCCTCGCCAGCCGTCTGGCGGCGCAGCCAGCGGCGGCCCGGATCCCTCCCGGTGGCCGGACGGATACGACGCGCCGTCGAGCGGGCTGCGGAGGCGACGCCGCGGGGCTCCGCGGCGCCTGGTCTGTCTGCCGGCCGGCCGGGCGCCGCTGATACGCCGCGATAAGACAGCTGACGTCAGCGGCGTACCCGCCGGGGCGCACGGCGCGGCGGCCGCCGGCGGCGCACGCCCCGGGCAGGCAGGGCGCCGCTCGCCCACGCGCGCCGCCTGGCTTCCTGGAGCCACGCGGTGGGGAATCCGCAAGCCCGCACTGGAAACCTCGGCACCACTGGACATGTGCTTCGTGAGAAACCGACAGCCAGGGAGCATGCGACTGCAAAACTGCCTCATGCAACGCCCCACCGTGCGTCTGGGCGTGACCATGGCGTGCCGTGTACAATACACCCGACCTGTCGTGACATGATGAACGACCGTCCGCTCGGACTGTGCGGCGTGCTCGAGGAGTCACCGGCTGGAAATAACGTCCCGCAGTGGTACTCTACGTGTGTACTCCGGTTACGTTCGTGCTGGACGGGGTCAGATACCATTGCGATAGACGGAAACGGCATCACCACTTCCACTTCATTCGCCGTCATTCACCTTCGCAAATGGTCGCAGCCTTCTTGTAGGACAGCACAACGGAAATATACGTCAAAGAAAAACCTCGAGCCCCTGCTTTTCCAGCATTGTGATTTGGGGTGTTTATTTGACAAAAATCGATATTCCTTATACCGGGAGGTACGGAACGTTATCAAGCAAGCACTGCACCTTCAATAAGAGCAGTGCTTTCTTATTAACATCGCTTAACCTGTTCTATCCATTATATTTGAGGTCAACTTTTGTCAGAACAACAAGTCCAAACTTGCCTAAAGCGGCATGTCATCGTGTCCGCCGGCCCATCGTCGTCATTTTATGGATCACATATAAATATTAATGCCGGAAATGGCGTAACTGCAACATTTCGCTGCCTAGCCGAAAGAGAGCATCCATGAAAGCATGAGAGTTGCACAGAAAACATGGCCATGGTCAGTTTAAAGGAAATTGTTTTGTCACTGAGAACAGTTATCACGAGTGTACTGAGCCCTGAAAATTGAAGTTTTCTATATTCAGATAAACTATGCAGCGTATCGTTAGGATTCAATACAAGGGGACGGTAGAGGAGGAGCAAACAATATTATCATTTCCCCGCTCTCACACATAACCGCTATTTTTTTGGAATTCACGCTCTGAAAGTCGTCTTCAATTTTGAAACAAAATCGTGCTTACAAACGTCCCATTTATTCGGAATCTTACCCCTGCTGCCAGCATCACAGGTGTCGACATGAAACACTACCATGACACCGCCATGACCATGACACCATGACACCATGACCCGTGGGAGGTGCGGCCAGCCGCTGACTAGACGCTTCAAGTCACGACCCACTGCCGCCACCATCAGCCACCAGGCTCGGGCGCAGCGCTCCGTCCTTCGCAGCAGCAGTCTCACCGACCATCCGCCGACCCTGACCAGTCCACAGGCCGGTCCCGGCTACTCGGCTGGTCCCGGCGACCGGCTACCGGTCCCCGGGCCGGGGGCGTCGCTAGCCGGCGGGTAGCCGCTCGGGAGCCGCCGCCACCGGCCGCAGCGTGCCCGGCAGCGGCTGGCATAGCTCGCTGGCAGCTATCGTCAGACACTGCGACATGTTGTCGCGAACGTGAGCCAGCCGCCAGTGCTTCAGCAGCAGCGAATGCTCGAGCGTGAACGGGCCGTGGCGGAGGCAGCGGACGCGCACGGTGGTGGCGGCCGAGCGCAGCTGGCGGCCCAGGTCCTGCACCAGCGTCAGCAGGTACTGCTCAGACTCGTTGATGGTGTGTACCTCCAGCGTGAAGAACGGCGGCGCGAACTGCACGCAGCGGATGCCGTACAGCACGGGTGGAGAGCCCCGGACCGGCCGCGGCGGGCCGCGCGACGCCAGCTCGTACGCCGCCTGCGAGTTGACCGGCAGGCCGGAGTGCTCGAACATCAGCCGCTGGTGCGCCGCCTGCAGGCCGGCCAGCACCGCCTCCAGTCGGCCGCGTGTCACATGGCCGTATGTGGCGCGGTCGGTGGCACGGCCGTCGGCGAACAGCGTGTTGGTGGCGATGCCCAGCCGGCCGCTCAGCTGGTACACGCGCAGCAGCGGCCCAGCCGCGCGCAGGTCCGGCACCAGCCGCGCGCCGCGGTTGACGGCCAGCAGGAGCGGCCCGGACGTGCGCCAGCCGAGCAGCGAGAGCGGCGTCACGCGCACGTCCGGCGGGAGGAACGCCGGCCCGATCACCAGCCGGCGATCGAGCGCGGCGCGCGGCGCGTCCGCGGCCGGCTCCAGCGCGCGCGCGCCGGCTGGTTCCAGCGCGCGCCCGTCGACCGACAGCGCCGGTCGCCGCGGCGGCCCTTCGACTGCAGCCCGCTCTACGGCATTCAGGTCCACGGTCAGCTTGTGCCGCAGCACACCCATGCACTTGTCGACTGAGTATCCCGATGGTTTGTACAGGCAGGCAAGACCATTGAGCCGCTTCCAGAGGTCTCCTGCTACCCGCGACCCGGCCGGCATTGCAGTGGGCATCTGTGAACAAGGTCATGGAGACCAACACGTGACAGACATATCCAGAAAGAAAATGCTGACACTCCCATACAACACATGCAGATGGACGATGTGGAATCATGTGCATCAGAATCATATGAGCAAGGTTGGAGTCCCGCTAACGGCTTTCTTTCACTGACACCAAAGTCTAAGTCTATTTTCTACATCTATATGTGTGCAGGCCTTTAGGGATTGAAGGTGATAGACATCTACAACATGTGCGACACGGTGAAGTAAAAAAAAGTCCCGACCTTTGCCTACTTAAACGTTTACTTTTCATAAATTTACTTACTCCTTAATTATGAATGACTTGCAGGAGTGGTACAGGGTTCAAGGTGCATGCTAAGCATAGCATTGTTCCATGCCAACTCTACCAGTTGAGTCCACACCATCTCAGATATGAACGAACTCGTGGGATAACAACAATACACTCGTACAGAGCGAATGCGATCATAGCCAGGTGGACCAGAGCGCAGTGGTGCCCCGGCCGGTCGGCCACGAGCGCCACCCAGCCTCGTGCCGGCCGGCCCGGTCCGTGTCGATGCCACCGGCAGCTGTCTCCCTCCCGTGATGGTCCAGAAAGGCGGCTCCAGGCGGCTGGAGCCCTTTTTCAAACATGGTTACCACCGAAGTGGTGGGAGCAGTGAAGAGATGGAAGCCACTGAAGCTGTGGGGGCAGGTTCTGAGCTGTGGGGGCCTGACTGAGATGGAACCGATTTGGTCAGAGTCCGAATGGTACAAATCCATGGGTTTCAGATCCCTCCTGGGACATGCTCTTTGCACATGGGCATGGTTTATCGCTGACAGACACAGGTCCCAGATGCGAAGATCAAAGATGAGTCGTTCTATTCTTCAGATTAACGTTAATGCATACCGTATGGTTTAGGTCGGGGTAAACACAAACTCTCCCATTTCAAAGGTATGATGCGTGTTTGTGCACGTAGAATCCTCCATACAAAGCGCATGCTGCGAACCGAGCCACGTCTGAGAAGACTGGCTGAGGAAATAAGGTGTGAGGAAAGAAGGCTGAAATCGGTGATTAAGTCTTTCAAACAAAGATGTCAGCTGTCTGGTGTCATCGTTTTGATCGGCATGGGAGTGGGCCGACAACTGCCGGTAGCATTGGTGCAAGCAAGCCAGGCCGTCTGGCAGGGAGCCAGATGGCGCGCCGGACGCGCCGGTCCCCTGGCCATGATTGCTGTGATTGACTGCTGGCTACCCATGCTGCATGAGTAAAAAGGGAATCTCCACTTTTCTATGAAAGATTCCTGGTGTAGAAATATAAAGCAATGCCAAAAACCAAGATTTCTTATGAAAAGAGGGGTCTTCAAATTTGGAAATTGGGTTTTTAATAAGAAAAGTGTATACCAATAACAATGCCAAATGGCTCAACCTGTCTAAAATTGCCAGTTAGGAAACTGTATCACCTGCATAGTATTTTACTCTGATAAGAATGTGGTGTGGCTGTGGGGTGATGGCGGTATTATTTGGCACATTCCTGTATGCCATTCAATGACACCATCCACAGTAAACAGCCATGCACTGAGGTCTTACTTTCAGAATCATGATTAAGGGTCAAGGTAATTCAGAGTATGAATTGAGTGCAGACATAACATTATGGTATCTAAAATTGCCCTTCTAGTGATTGAGTTACCACAGAGTGATCACATAGCTTGTTGCATGTACCTTAAACCTATGACCCAAGCTGACCATTTGGTTTGATAGATAAGTCAGCCTCTGACTTTTGACCATACAGGAATGGGAAAGGTCTTACATGTTACATGAGTGCTACTGGATTACAGATCCAGCAGCCTTTCCCTTGATCATGAAGATGATGAAGACTCAGAACCAAGCTAAAACCTTAATTTGAGCCAAACATAAGCTGGAATCAAGCTATAAATTGCATCAATCCTCACTGATCTAACAAAACCCCAAATGGCATAAAATGAAATGATCTTTTAACATAACTCATGTACTTTGATTCTGAATCAAGAAACTACAGTGGCATTGACATCATATGTTATACTGTTATATGCATGTTATGCATGTTATACTGATCTGATAACCAACAGTGAGCAAATGACAGCAATTAAAATAGCATGGTTTAAATGCAGATGTCTCCATTAAAAACAAATATGATTCACTTTAAAACTTGTGCCCAGGTTCAGCAACTAGCAAATGATGATGGCTGAGCTCTTCAAAGTGTCAAAACGGTGACAAACACCTATATCAGAGCCTAACTGGCAAAATATTCATATGAAAAGCAATGAATGTCATCACTTTATAGTGTCACAAGTGGTGAGAACTGAGGGCCAACATTCAGGCCATGCAGACAGGCCAGTTTGCAAACTGTAGGATATGTGCCAACAAGATGAAAACAGATTGCATTCATTTGAACACATTGCACATTGCACAGATTGCATTCTTGCCACTGGCAGAAAATCATAATCTATTATTACAGCTGACTTTACCAAGTGGGGAGACCATAACACACATTGTCATCCCCCCAAACATCCAATTAAATCACTTGAGATGATACTTTCACCCCTAAATTTAAAAAGCTGCACCAAATTGGATATTGCGACCCACCTCTCCCCAACAGGACCACGTTAAAATCTGTCATGGCTTGCCGACTGGCAGGCAATCAACCTACTTACCGTCCAGCCAACCTACCCTTCAAACCCAAGAGCAATCACGCATCTCATAGCATGGTATCTCAAAACTTGGACTACACACTGTCATGTAACCGTGCCTACCTTTGATGGAATCTCTCAGCTCTAGTGCAGCTGGTGGGTATTACCTATCTAGAACCAATTGCGTATTACCCTGGTCCCCTGGTCCTTAGCATTTACCTACATGCGGCTCGCAAATCCCGCGATTTTTTTGACGGATATCCACCTTTTTGGGGGCCACAATCGTAACGAGTGCGCAACGATGCACGAAATATGGCAGGAACCGGCAGCAGTGCTGTAGGGGAATTAGGAAGTTGGCCGTAAAACTAATGTAGTGCGTTGAGAACTGGGATCTCTTTCGATCGAGCATTCTCAGGCACCTCATTATTCTGAAATGGCAAAATAATACGTGTATGCAGCATGATAGAGCAAGAAAAACAATGTGAATTCTCCGAATTTCCGATTCCGGTTGACGCATCACTCCACTGACACATCACTTCCCCATCTCAATGAACTCAGGTTATTATGGAGCAGCCTGGCCCAGAACCCAACCGAGGATTCGACTCCAGACACGCAGCCAAGAATCGGAGGGGGTGGTACGCAGTCGGGCCCATCTGGGAAGGGAATTGAGGCAGTTTGTGCAGCCGAATTATTTATTGCGCTTGGACTCGGATATTCAGATGGTTTCGCTGTCACTGACGGCAACCTTGACTATCGAGGCAGGCAAAAACCAAACGGCACAACTTCGATGCTCTCGTGGTCAAACTTGCTTTGACGCCATGCGCTATCGTGAGCCCAAAAATACGTTCTCTCTAAAACGGCACGTTTATACCTACCACAGCACAAATGCTTTTTGATATATTTCACGACGACCCTGTCCACGCAAAGCTTTCCGCCCATTCCCTGGCTGCAGCATGCATCGTGAGAGCTACCACAGATCTCGGAAGCGTGACTCGGGCTCCTCCTTTTCCAGAACTAAGCTCGCACACAGGACAATATATCTTTCCGCTTGGCATCAATAACAACGCAAAGATCGTGTGGCATATGATCTGTCAATGTACTCGATGTCAATGTTTATGGGGAGAGGGCAGTCTGGCGGATTCTTAGCGTCCTAGTCAGATTTGCTACTATCTGACAAATTTATTTACTCTGATAGCAGCCCTGGTATGAACGCCCAACACCGAATAACTTCATCGACACTTGTCCGAAAACGACTGGGTCACATTGCGACATTTTTCGTCACCCGCTGTGCAGATTATTTGCTCACAAATTAGAGTTCGCACGAATTCGTAACATCTAACTGCAAAGGCAGACCATGCAATTTGTTACAACATAGACCACATAGATACAAAACGCCAAAGGCCAACAGGTCACCACTATGCACATAAAAATAACCCACGAACTCAACTCAAATCGTGGGCATCGATCCAGTGCGCCAGGAGCTGTCTGACAAACCGGTCCCGCCCGTTCTCTTCACGTGGTGGTGTCCGACGGATGAGCTTGGGACGTGGCACATGCCACGGATCCGTCGGTGGTGTCAGAGCCCAATACCACGGAGATACAAAGATGGGCCAGTACTTCCTGTGCCACCAGGGATGGCGCCACGAACACAATGTGTGGTCTATCGCATGTTTCCCAGCGTGTCATCAGGACACATTTTCTGCGCCCCTTCCTTTGGGACTAGCGGTACGTTTCGCTTTCGACGGTTTGCTTCTGTACCATTGCGTACGTTGGGATCTACCCTGCGCCCCACCAGAGCCCTCTGGTGCCTGTCGACGATCCGCTGGCGGTGGGCGATAGCCTCGCAGAGGGAATCGATATTTCCCTTGAGGGGAGAGATAACCCTCCTGAGGGGAGCGATAGCCTGCCTGAGGCTGTGGAGCCTCGCCCTGCTGCGGTCTAATATCACTCTGAGGCGTCCGGTCATCGCCCCGCGGTGATTGAGCGCGACCTGTCGACGCTTGAGCGCCGCCGAGCGATGCCCGCAGCCAGTTGCTGAGCGTCGTCCGCAGCTTGGCGGCGCCGCGCGGCGCCGGCCGCTCGCCGGGCCTCTCAATCGGTGGCAGGCGCCGCGCCCGGGCCGGTCCCGGTGGCGGTGGCGGTGGCGGTGGCGGTGGTGACGGCGATGCCGGCGTCGGCGCCCACCGCGGCCCTTCCAGCATGGTCGAGTGCTCCTGCACCGAGTCCCCCGACACGTCGGTGATGAGCGCGGAGGCGGTGACGCTGGGATCAACCAGCGCGCCCTCCACTGGGTGGTCCATCAGCAGCGCGCGCACCACCATCCAGGCGATGTAGCCGAGCGCCGCACCGGCCAGGAAGCAGACAACGGCGGTGATGATCGTGAAATGACGCGTCATGATCACGGCATGGCCGAGGTCGTTGGTGACACCCTGAGCGCTACACGCGGGCACCTCCACGAACGTGACGTTGATGACGATCTTTGCTATGAATGCAAACACCTCGGGTCGCGGCACGGTGAGCATCATGTAGCCGTACGTGTTGTTGATGCTGAAGCGAGGCATGAAGACGAGCGACGCGTCGTTGAAAAAGTGGTCGAGGCAGTAGGTGCGCCAGCCGTGTTTCGATTGCTTCAGCATGATGGTGAAGTACAGCTCACACCAGTTGTTGTCCTAGAAAACATGAGGAGAAAGAAGGCCGCGCTGGCAACGGCGCAGATGGTGGTCGCACCATCGCCTCTGACCGCACACATCCGGGGCACTGCAGCGTAGCACGCTTCCTGCTAAATTCCTACGCAGCCAACGCCAGCATGTGTCTGGTTTGAGCTAGCTAGCAGCCACACGCGCGTAGGAACGGGAGAATTGGCACTAACAACACACTTCTCGTTTAAGTTTGGCATTAACCGTGCGGTGAAAAAAGAAGGAAAAGTCTTGAAAATGTAAATGGTTGGGGCTGGCCACCTCTCCCTCTTTTTGATGTGTTTTTGCTCCTGAGCCGGTGCGCCGGTGGTGAGTGACCCCGGCGCGCCGGGCGAGCCACCCACCTTCAGGTCAGGGTTATCGTTGGAGCGTAGCGGCGCTAATGAGCTGGTGTTGACGTAGATCAGCGGCCGCATGCAGCCCGGCGCCAGCACCGTCAAGTCGCACGCGTAGAATGGCTCATGCTCGTCCACCAGGCCGATCTCGGCCAGCGAGAAGGTTGTCTGGCTGCGCACGGACACCGAGCAGCTGGAGCCGAACGGGTCCTCCCCGCCTGGCTTGAAGATGTGGTTGGCGCACTGCTGGCCGGCGTACTGCGGCGGGCACAGGCACTGGCAGTGGCGGTCCCAGTAACCGCCGTTTTGGCAGGGCGGATGGTTCGTGCAATTCCACTGCCGCGCGCAGTCGTACGCCCGGTTCAGCGCCAGTGTGTCGAGGACAGACAGGCCCCTGTGGCGGTGAAGCTTGTAGTCCAGCATCCACTGGTTTCTGTCGAAGGCGAGAAAATGCACTTCTCTGGTAATGGTCGTCTGTAACGATCGCAGACAGAGGCAAAGAATTTACAAGCGCATGTGATATTAAACCGTGTCTGCAGATGGCAAGGACGTAATTTTTAGTAATTTTGACCTTTCATAAACGAAACTTTCGTCTCTGGTTTACAATATTGTTAACGTTTAAATGGCGACAGATGGTTCAAAACAAAAATGAGCACATTTCGAAAAGTCAACATTGGTGACTGTCCCTCCCAACGTTTACTCTCTCATTGGTGTTTTTCAAACACCACAAAAATAAAGTTGTAATGTCACACAAATACAGATGCCTCTTCCCTTTCCTGCTCCCTGAACGACGAATCCCGACCCGTGTCGCCGAATGGCACGCACCTGACGTTACCTGATATTGCGCACGCTCATCACCATGCCGTGTTCGAGGGAGCGCCGGCCGCCGAAAGAGCCGTGGCGCAACGTCGAGCCAATCGTGTCGTACTGCGTCACAGAGAGCAGGTCGTAAGGCGTGTCGTCGCCGTAGTCGCTGCAGGCGGTCGTCTGACCCTGGGCGAAAAGCAGCCGGTCGGTGCCGGCCGCCGTCACCATCACCGTCAGCGTCTCGTCGCGGTCGCGGCGCTGCTGCTCATTCAGCATGCCCAGCGCCTTGGCCAGGCTCTGCACGCCCTCGTGGAAGGGACAGGAGGCATGCGGCACGTGCAGCACCTGAGCGACCGAGCCGTAATCGCCGCCCCACTGGCTGCCCACGTTGTCGCTGTAGCACGCGTCGCTGTCATCCTCCGCCGTCAAGCAGAGCGTCGGCTCCTTCGCGTACTCGAAACAGTCGGCGCGCGGCGCCAGCCGCTCGAACGTCACGCACGTCAGGTTCTCGATGTGCTCCATGGCCGACTCGATCAAGGTGACGTTAGGGAGACTATTGCGTCTTCCCGTTACGAAGTAGCGAACAACGCAGCGTCTCGTTCCTTCAGACGGCCACAGAGCTGACGTAAGCACGCCGCCCGTCTTCATCACCTTTTCTCTGTCTTCACCGGTAACGTTTGCGTCGGTTCGACCACTAGGTCGCTGTATCATATCGATAGGCATCACAAGGACTGAAAGCCATGCAAAGTAGACGACAACTGTTCCACGAGGACCAATGTGGCGGAACGGACACATCCTCAAAAAGCTCACGTCAAGTCAAACGGTCTTCTGGTTACGTAGACATGTGCGAGGACCGAGACAAGATGATTTGAGTTCCGATGGTGCGATGACAAAGATTTCAATATGACGCAGTCGATAAAAGTAATACAAAACGAAGTCACCAAACACGACAGAAAACAAATGAACTAAGGACATGGGAAATGACACAACAACCACTTTTTCCAAACAGAGGGGAGTCTGCACATGCAGTTTTTAACCACGCTCCTGTGGTCTGCAAATCAGATATGCCCAGTAGCATTACATAACTAATCACGAAGCAGGTAAAAATGCGCTGTGGTCACTTGTACTTGCAGTTTGAACCCCGAAACGACGCCGAGTTATTTAAACGCATTTTCCCCGAGGAGTGGAAAATGTCCGTGCAAGTTTTCTTCACGTAATTTAACAGCGAAACTTTGAGCAGATGTTTCAAAAGAAATGTTCTAAATTTGACGATGTTGGGGCAAGCAGCAGATGTGATGGAGAAGGCTGACTTATTACTACTGGCGTGCTGCTAATGCTGAAAACTTCTCGAAATAACACAATTTCACCTCCTAGCAAACATGCGCCACGTTACGCCGGAGACTGATTACGTCATCGTATCTTTTGCAACATGGATTGAGAGCCAATTGAATGCCATTTTACCTGGAAATCGTGCTTACGAACGCCAGATATGAACGACTGGAAAGCTATGTCGCTCTTGGCCTTGATCGCCGTATGGTCAGTTTAATTGAATGACGTTATGTCGGCGTCATGGATACCGGGGTAACCTAAAAATAGTCTTCCCAAAATAGTCTGCACATACTCGCAGACGTTTAGTTCAAAAACTAAAGGGGTGAAGGACAGGATTGGCAACTGCATTGAATGATCTTGGAAGTGGCGATTTCATTTTCATTCTCCACACAAATGTAGAACACTATCTAATAACATCAACACATATGAGTGAATAGGTATCGACAATCGTGACCGTGGACAAGGAAATCCCCTCCAATGGAACGCTCGTGACTTATGAAAAACGTATACCTGATGTCAACGTTTTAATATAAAGTTCTGTATTGATTTTGGGAGCCCTCGGCTCGCCGCAGTGATTTTAGACCTGTTGATCTTCGTGTCAGGAGCGAAACCTGGTCTTTTTCGGGCATCCCTGATAGTTACATGCTTGCGAAAGATCACCATGTTTCTTCATGGCGATGGCTGCGTGGTCGCACGTGACCGGAGAGTGGGTTGTTCTTCTCTTCTCAGCTGGGCGGGGGCTCCCGCCTCCTAGCGCTTCCCAGTTTTGACAAGGAAGTGGACCAAATGCGGGAGAAATCTTTTTTGACGAATTTTTTTTTGGGGGGGGGTGAATTTCGCTTTTTTTTTGTTGCTCGGTACCTTAATTTATTCTGCACAGCTACCCCTGGTTGGGTACACTCTAGCACAACACATGACCCACTGGATACTTGTGAGGCTTACCTTAAAAAGACCATGTTCCCGCGGGAGGATGAGCTTTACAGGATTACCTTTAACCGCTGCCAAATTTATCACTTAAAGCGCACGAATTTCCTCAAGCAGTCACGAACATGCGGCAATGACGCAAACTACATCATTTTGCTGTATGTGAAGGCCTGCGATGAGATGCAGATAGCTTTCCGGGCGGTCAATGACACCGACTGTGCGATTGTGCGATTGTCTATGTTATCTGTATCGTACACGAATTCCGATTATGTAAATGATTCATCCGTTGGGGAGACATGGTATGGACACGCATTCATTAGATACCTTTGCAATTTATTACACACTCACAAAAATGCGTCTGATATTCATTGGTCACCAAATGATCGCACATCAAATATTTATCACCTAACAAGGTTCACGTATATCTTTGCGCTGCATTCTCATGACCGTATCGACCAACTGGCCATGGTTTTACGGGTAGGACGGCATGATGGAAACGAAGGCACTGATCATTCCGGAACACTGGAGATAGTCCTTTCGCCGTTGTGCAGGTGCCCATTCTGTGCCACCGCCAGTCCCCGTCTTCCGTCACGACTCTGCAGCTACAAACGACACGCTTGGGTCAAGGATAACCATGCCTGTTTACAATGTTTGTAAGTCGTTATAATGTCTTGGCTTTTCATAGTGGCCTTAACAATGGAAATAAGTTACCCGAATACTTCCACTGCGCACACTACTGTTCATCATGAGCTAAACTGGCGGCGCTGATCAAGGGCATTTGTTCCGCATACAAATAATCAATACATTTGCCGAAGAAAAAAGCCCACAGAAGCAGGCCTCCTGGCCCTATACCTGAACCGCACCACGGAAAAGCGCCTGAAACGTGCCTAGAAATCGCACCGGAACCAAGGTAGGGAAATCACCTGGACGTAACTGAGAGATCGCACCGGAACCAATGTAGGTGCATCACCCTCCCCGAGTTTGCCCAGGAACGCACCTGAGCAGCAGCGCTGGCGCGCGCTATTTGGTCACCAGGTGACGGCACCGGCCTCAGCCGTCCTCTTCATCTGAGCTGCCGTCAGACTTTCCCAGCTGGCTCTGAGGAGACATGGGATGATGATCATGAGATCAGACGATGAGACAGATGAGGCAGGCAGGTTGTGGTACGCCAGACTGGCAAGTTCACAGGCTTTTCCACCAAACATTTTCCCGTTCCGAACGTTCCATGCGATATGATGCGCTCCTGGAACATCATGATCACCTTTGCACACTGACTTCACCGTGCAGTGCACTGACTAGTAATACCGCACGTTAGCTCACGACGCAAACACCGTTCTATTTGTGATACTAAGACCGTGATTACGTTGCGCCTAGCACAAACATGATCACACTAGTTGGACACGAATCAAAACTTCCACCACATCTATCTTTACCTCTACACAATTCATGCGGAAGTATTACCATAAATTACGCATAAAACTGCCCTTTGCACTCAACTTGCGACATAACGATGATAGGGGTTAGGACCTTTCTAACACACCGTGATCAGCAAGGACTACACCCCAAGCCCCAAGAACAGTACGGACTATACCACAAGCCCCAAGACCAGTAAGGACCATACCACAAGAACAAGGACAAAGGAAACTTGGCTGGTGCTCACTTTAGACATTCGAATCAACATCACGGCCAACTGGTACATATGTTTGCACCACCGAAAATACACAAGACCACCGTATCCTTAAGGTGCATTGTCAGCTGTCAAGGTTCATCCTGCCATCCACTGCACCAGTTCCTGGTTACGATAATCAACCGCTAGTAAGAAGTCATCACCATTCGCGAAGAACTCAGCCCACTTGGTCTCGTTGGAACAAGACATGTGACCAACACCTGACACAGAAATCATGAGCCTCGACATGGTGAGCCTGCTCACGCACGTACCAACGCATCAGGCCATAACCGTTGTACTCAGCATATTGGATAACGACGACTCGATCGTGGAAAGAACAGGCATCCCAATCAACATCATGGAGCTGCTCACGTTTTGCCACCACGACCGTGTGCCGGCTAAACAAACAATGCTACCAGAAACCGAAGGAATGGCCATGAAATCACCTATGTCACCGGTGCTTGCCAACATCCACATGGAGGATTTAAAAGATATGGGAAAGGAAATCACACCACGGGGACCTTCAGCATGGCAACGGTACGTCGACGACACCTTCGTCCTCTTGTAAGAGCAGAAAATGAAACGACATTCCTGGACCTCATCACCAGCTTGCGACCATCCATCCGGTTAATCACGGAGCGCCAAGACAAGAACAGGCTACCGTCCCCAGATGTACAAGTCGAGAGAACCCCGACAGGTTCAGGACATCGATGTGCCGGACAGCAAGAGCACACCCACCGGCCACAGTAAAGACAGGCATCATGAGATGTAATGTTAAGTGCATCTGCGAGGAACATTATTCACATGGCTAAGACAGTAGCAGTACCCTTATGCGTCGGAGAAAAAAAAAACAGAAGAATGGAGATATAGATGCGTTCACATTTTGAAAGCATGCCTTCATCAAAACAATCGCAGAAGCGAATTCAAAATTCCCTTCAATTAAAAAAACAGACATTAAGAGATGCTTTGAGAACCACGCAGATGTCAGCAACGATGACGCAACTAAGAAGAGAGAAATAAATCAGCTAATCGAGTCGTTCCGCAGGGACAGGCACCCAAACGGCTTCACAGACAGCAAGCCCGAAGGGCATGCTCAACAAGCGGGATAATAACCATACAATAAGGACTTGCCAAAAGGACACGAAATATTTGTAGGCGATGCATCAGCAAAGACTTCAGAAGAAGTTCCACGTTACGGATAACACCCACCAAAGTCAGACGACTGGCGTCTGGGGAAGACACGAAGAAATGCACACAACGCACAACACGCAGCTATGGCGGATCCCACAAAGAAAGGACAAGTCGCCTTCTACAGGGCAAGCTGGAAGAGAACAGAAAGGCAACCACCTGGGGTAGACTCTAGTCTGGTGTGGTGTGGTCAGGCGGCGATCACCGACCGGCATGGGATAAGATAGCCACAATCGACTGAGGGCAATGCTGGAAAGTCAACAAGATCACATAGACCACACACGTGACATTGGCTAACAAAACCATCACTAAGCCAAGCACAGACGCCAGCCCCGTATGGCACCGAATTCTGCGGAAAATCACCAAACATCCAGGACAAGAATGACAGCAACTCTTATCACTAAAAAATCGCCCTTCCCGGCTGGCCCGGTCGGTCGAGCAATGGACTAGCAATCAGAAGACCCTGGTACCGATCGCAGCAATACCAGGAAGGGAACGGGTTTGTGATGAGCACATCACGGAAAGCTAGACATTAGGCATTCCTTCTTATGACTCCCTAATGCCTGACCACGCCTGGGAGTAAACTGGCCAAAACTTCACAGACCTACTACCACGTCAGAAGAAGACGACAGTCAGGATAATTACCCTATCCGCACAGACCTCTCAGCTCCCTGCACCGCCTTCCAGCCGGCTCCTCGCAAGCAGTCCGTGATGAAGCCCCACCAGACCCCAAAGCCCGCTCACCTTGCGCAGCAGGCTGATGATCGCGGCAGCACCACCGGCCTCAGCCAAATGGCGCACGTCATAGGGCACCTCGGCGTCGGCGAACGGCGCCCGCTGAATGCCCTCCTCGTCGGCGATGTGCTGGAACACGGGCAGCACGCCGCCGGCAGCCGCGCACGGCGCGCAGAGCGGCGAGCCGGCCGGTGGAGGCTCCTCACACCTGCCGCGGCACGGGGAGAGTCAAGGGGACGGTACACAGACGGGAGATACTCACACCTGTCACGGCACGGGGAGGGTCAAGGGGACGGTACAGACGGGAGATACTCACACCTGTCCCGGCACGGGGAGGGTCAGGGGGACGGTACACAGACGGGAGATACTCACACCTGCCGCGGCACGAGGAGAGTCAAGGGGACGGTACACAGACGGGAGATACTCACACCTGTCACGGCACGGGGAGAGTCAAGGGGACGGTACACAGACGGGAGATACTCAACCTGTCACGGCACGGGGAGAGTCAAGGGACGGTACACAGACGGGAGATACTCACACCTGTCACGGCACGGGGAGAGTCAAGGGGACGGTACACAGACGGGAGATACTCACACCTGTCACGGCAGGGGAGGGTCAGGGGACGGTACACAGACGGGAGATACTCACACCTGTCACGGCACGGGGAGGGTCAGGGGGACGGTACACAGACGGGAGATACTCACACCTGTCACGGCACGGGGAGGTCAGGGGACGGTACACAGACGGGAGATACTCACACCTGTCACGGCACGGGGAGGGTCAAGGGGACGGTGCACAGACGGGAGATACTCACACCTGTCACGGCACGGGGAGGGTCAGGGGGACGGTACACAGACGGGAGATACTCACACCTGTCACGGCACGGGGAGGGTCAGGGGGACGGTACACAGACGGGAGATACTCACACCTGTCACGGCACGGGGAGGGTCAGGGGGACGGTACACAGACGGGAGATACTCACACCTGTCGGCACGGGGGAGGGTCAGGGGGACGGTACACAGACGGGAGATACTCACACCTGTCACGGCACGGGGAGGGTCAAGGGGACGGCACAGACGGGAGATACTCACACCTGTCACGGCACGGGGAGGGTCAGGGGGACGGTACACAGACGGGAGATACTCACACCTGTCACGGCACGGGGAGAGTCAAGGGGACGGTGCACAGACGGGAGATACTCACACCTGTCACGGCACGGGGAGAGTCAAGGGGACGGTACACAGACGGGAGATACTCACACCTGCCGCGGCACGAGGAGAGTCAAGGGGACGGTACACAGACGGGAGATACTCACACCTGTCACGGCACGGGAGGTCAAGGGGGACGGTACACAGACGGGAGATACTCACACCTGTCACGGCACGGGGAGGGTCAGGGGACGGTACACAGAGGAGATACTCACACCTGTCACGGCACGGGGAGGTCAGGTCAGGGGACGGTACACAGACGGGAGATACTCACACCTGTCACGGCACGGGGAGGGTCAGGGGACGGTACACAGACGGGAGATACTCACACCTGTCACGGCACGGGGAGGGTCAGGGGGACGGTACACAGACGGGAGATACTCACACCTGTCACGGCACGGGGAGGGTCAGGGGGACGGTACACAGACGGGAGATACTCACACCTGTCACGGCACGAGGAGAGTCAAGGGGACGGTACACAGACGGGAGATACTCACACCTGTCACGGCACGGGGAGGGTCAGGGGACGGTACACAGAGGGAGATACTCACACCTGCCGCGGCACGAGGAGAGTCAAGGGGACGGTACACAGACGGGAGATACTCACACCTGTCACGGCACGGGGAGGGTCAGGGGACGGTACACAGACGGGAGTACTCACACCTGTCACGGCACGGGGAGAGTCAAGGGGACGGTACACAGACGGGAGATACTCACACCTGTCACGGCACGGGGAGGGTCAGGGGGACGGTACCGAGACGAGAGATACTCACACCTGTCACGGCACGGGGAGGGTCAGGGGACGGTACACAGACGGGAGATACTCACACCTGTCACGGCACGGGGAGGGTCAGGGGGACGGTACACAGACGGGAGATACTCACACCTGCCGCGGCACGAGGAGAGTCAAGGGGACGGTACACAGACGGAGATACTCACACCTGTCACGGCACGGGGGGGTCAGGGGGACGGTACACACACGGGAGATACTCACACCTGTCACGGCACGGGGAGAGTCAAGGGGACGGTACCGAGACGAGAGATACTCACACCTGTCACGGCACGGGGAGGGTCAGGGGGACGGTACACAGACGGGAGATACTCACACCTGCCGCGGCACGAGGAGAGTCAAGGGGACGGTACACAGAGGGAGATACTCACACCTGTCACGGCACGGGGAGAGTCAAGGGGACGGTACACAGACGGAGATACTCACACCTGTCACGGCACGGGGAGAGTCAAGGGGACGGTACACAGACGGGAGATACTCACACCTGTCACGGCACGGGGAGAGTCAAGGGGACGGTACACAGACGGGAGATACTCACACCTGTCACGGCACGGGGAGAGTCAAGGGGACGGTACACAGACGGGAGATACTCACACCTGTCACGGCACGAGGAGAGTCAAGGGGACGGTACACAGACGGAGATACTCACACCTGTCACGGCACGGGGAGGGTCAGGGGGACGGTACACAGACGGGAGATACTCACACCTGTCACGGCAGGGGAGAGTCAAGGGGACGGTACACAGACGGGAGATACTCACACCTGTCACGGCACGGGGAGAGTCAAGGGGACGGTACACAGACGGGAGATACTCACACCTGTCACGGCACGGGGAGAGTCAAGGGGACGGTACACAGACGGGCAGATACTCACACCTGTCACGGCACGGGGCGAGTCAAGGGGACGGTACACAGACGGGAGATTACTCACACCTGTCACGGCACGGGGAGAGTCAAGGGGACGGTACACAGACGGGAGATACTCACACCTGTCACGGCACGGGAGAGAGTCAAGGGGACGGTACACAGACGGGAGAGAATACTCACACCTGTCACGGCACGGGGGAGAGTCAAGGGGACGGTACACAGACAGGAGATACTCACACCTGTCACGGCACGGGGAGAGTCAAGGGGACGGTACACAGACGGGAGATACTCACACCTGTCACGGCACGGGGAGAGTCAAGGGGACGGTACACAGACGGGAGATACTCACACCTGTCACGGCACGGGGGGGGGGGGGTCAGGGGGACGGTACCGAGACGAGAGATACTCACGAATGTAGAAATACGGGATGGCCAACAAATAATTACCCAGCAGGGTGGTGTGAGGGCCTCGAGGCGCAATGAAGCAGCGATGAGGCTCATTCACGCTGGAATACCATTTTCCATATCTCGGCCTTAAAAAAGTAAAAAACTTGTACAATTGAAGTAAATGCATCGCTTACTTGCACCAAAATAACCTCAACATGACACGAGCAGACAAAACACTTCTATCCCCAACACCTATTTTCCTGGCGGTAGCTGGAGACAAAGGGCTGTACCACACCTGCATGTACATTACCTATGTCGTGGGTAGTGCGGCGACCTGTTGTCTCCGTACCTGAGATCTGCCGTTTCCGTACCTGAGAACTGCCGTCTCCGTACCTGAGCCCTGCCACCTCCGTGCCTGAGCCCTGCCATCTCCGTACCTGAGAACTGCCGTCTCCATTCCTGAGAGCTGCCATCTCCATACCCGAGACCTGCCTCCTCCGTAACTGAGACAATCTGTCTCCGTGCCTGAGATCTGCCGTTTCCGTACCTGAGACAATGTTCGCCCCGCAGCTGTGGCCAGGTGAACAAGGCTGGGTCGGTGGGCGGCGCCAGAGGACTGAAGTCCAGCAGACGTACGCGGTCTTTTGTGGGGCGATACACGTCAAAGACGTCTGCAACACGGCAGATTCGTTGAACATTTGCCGGGTGTGAGGAGCAAAAGGGTACAAGCTGTACGTAGAAGAATGCTGCGAAGTACGCATATTAGTACTACAAGGCACAAAAGACGGGATGTCTCAGAAAATGGGATGTCAAAACCAGTTTTGGAGTCAATTGTTTCCATGCGTGGCCATGAGGTCAAAAACCGTAACTATCCTTACGATACAAGGGTTTCAGCCTAATGCACAATTTATCGGCAGCTTTCCTGACCTAATGTTTTACATGACGAAGATGTTTCCAATGGAGAAAGCCGGCCAGTATTCCGCCCCATCGTCGCACCGTGACGTAGCAATCGTGTCGTATAAGTTGCCAGTCTCGACTACTTATCGTTGTTATGTCATGCTATGGAAAAAAGCACAAGCTTTATCAATGAATCTAATCAAAAAAATTCGGGTGCATCTGCGCTTCAGCGACGGACGTAGCTGGCGAATGTGACCAATACAGCATTTGGCTTTGTCGCGACTGGCGACCGGCTGCTCGTTTTCACAACAGGAGAGCATGGCGGTCCGAGCACGCCAGGCGGCAATGCCTCTGGCTCGGACCGGGCTTCTAAAGGACGGTCTGCTCAGTTGTGTAACACGCGCCCGATGGACTGATGCCGATCATGGAGCAACACCATGTAACGGAAAAAAATGCCACGGCTTCTTCTGCAATAGGTCGGAATGCCGAGCACCGCGACATCATGTTTAGCCCCAGGGCAGACCTAGGTGAGTAATGGCAGCTCAAGGTCGCCTCGGGCGACATTGCCTACCGCGGTCGGCTCCTTCGGGCCATAGTGACATCACGCCGGTCAACATTCCGCCCCATCAGCTCCGAATGCGTGCATTTTCACTTTCTGCTCTATGTTAAAGGGAGTGTGCGACATTTGTATGGGGGTTTGAACTGAAATAGCCATCTTGAAGATCATTCTGTGAAGTTCTCCGCCGTGACCTTCTTGGGAATAAACCCGTCTGTCCGAGCTGAACGCCCGCAAAGATGAAGACAAGAAGACCATTTCAAGGTCACCGAGGTATCCATGGCGTTGAGATAACGTCATTCCAATTATGTCATTCCATCAACCATGCGGCGATCAAGACAAAAAAAAAATCGAGTCGTCCATACCTAGCCTTCGTGAGCACGATTTCCAGACATACTGGCCCTAAATTAGCTCTCAAGCAATGTTGTGCGGGGTACGATGACGTAATCACACAGTGACGAATTGGGAAGTATATGTACGAAACAGAGAATTCCATTGTCAAGAGGAGTCGTTCACAATGAAAGGTATACCAATAGTTGTAAGTAAGCTTATTTTATCATATCTGATTCTTGTTTAAGCATCTTCAAATGTAGAACATTTCCTGTACCAAGACAATAAGGCAGTACCCCGTTGGTGTACGAAATCTTGGGTTTTTACGGACCCGATGTTCGTTGCAAGTGTCACGTAGCACGTCGAAAGGTCCGTGAAAATGTGAGTAGGTTGCCTGTGTACATGTGTGCAAACAAAACATGCACAGAGTAAAGAAGAGCAATCACTAGAATGGCACTCACATGCACGCAACGCATTAGAGTATACAGTACGCGACCGACCGCTGCAGGCGTGTGTAATTAATTGTGTTATATACACGGAGTACCGGGACAGCTGAACGAAACTCACAGTTTTGTAGAGGAAACTTGGCCTGGATATGCTCTTTAAAGAAACTTGAGATGTCTGTAACTATGCCGGCAGCATCTCGGACCAAATGAGGAAAATACTGACTGATTTCACGCTGCGATATTGCTGAAATAGCGACGTGGAATTAAACATCGCACTGATAACATATAATCAAAACCAGAGCGCTCGGTTACTTTCCATTCTACCACAACGGGGCGTTACTCGGTCATCATGACGCTTTTCCGCTACAAACAATTGCAAGCAATCATGCTGGCCTGGAAGAAGCCTTTATCCGCAGCACGAGCAACAGTACCCGACAGCACACTCGAGCGAGGCGGCGATCACGGGGGCTGCGCGCGGACCCTGGGGGCTTTGCGTGAGCCGAGCCGGGCCACGGCACCCCACTCACCGATCAGCTGGCCGGCCTGTACGAAGCACCGGAACTCGGCGGCCGGGCTGACGTCCTGCCACCGGCGCAGCACTAGCAGAGGCGTCACCGAGGCGCCCTGGCCGTCCGCACAGTCCTGCCGGCCGACCGCGCCGTCACGCCGCCGCCGGCGAGGCGGCGGGGGGGGGGGGGGGGGAGGGGCGCACGGACGGACGAACCGCGGCGCACCCGATCATACCGCACAGCCGCATCAAACGCTCGTCCCACGGAATCCCCAACAAGGGGCACCCAACGACCTGGACAAACGATGCCCGCCACTTGAGAACACGCCGGCAACCGAGCAATCGGGTTCGACATCACCGACGCGACAGCCCCATGAGCCATGACACGGCGGACGGACCCGGAACGGTTGACAGAGGTCCTGCTGGAGCCGGTCGGAGCCCCGCAGCAGGAGGTGCACGTCGCCCGGCGTCTGCGAGCGCAGCGCGCGCCCCACCGACAGCCAGCGCACGTCCACCGGCGCGCTCCAGTTCAGCTTGACGAAGGCGGCGCCTCCCACGGCCGCCAGCGCCGCGCGCAGCTCGGTGTCGAACGAGGCGAACTCGGGCCGCTGCCGGACGACAGCGGGGGGTCACCGGTTGGCGGTGATCGTGGAGGGGTACAGGTCACAAATTCGTTCGGTGACGGATCGGTCCCGGATAGAGGACAGTCATCAATCATAAGCCCGCAGATATCACACATCGGGACGTCACGGGCTGGTGCACTCACACGAGATTAGTCACGGAAGGTCAGAGGTCAGGGATCGGTAGCCGTTCCGGATCGGCAGATGTCACGGACACGCAGGTGTCACCAGTCTGTAGCGATCAATGATCAGTGGAAGTCTCAGATCGGTAGTGGTCAGGAGTGATGGCAATTCGTTACTGAGCCGTCACATGTCGGCAGCGATTCCCTATCCGTGGCACGTGTTCAGTGACAATCTGGCACCGAGCCGTCAGATGTCGGCAGCGATTCCGATCCGTGGCACGTGTTCAGTGACAATCTGGTACCAGGCCGTCAGATGTCGGCAGCGATTCCGATCCATGGCACGTGTTCAGTGACACGGCCAGACGGGTACTAGGTGTGATAGTTCATAGCCAACAGCAGTGACGGCGATCACGTCTGTGACAATCCAGCGCAAATCCACCACCACAATATTGAAGGCACATACAACAAACAAACCTCGCCCGTTTGGAAGTGCATTTCTTCACCCGCGCCCCATTCCCTCCCCGTCACTCGTCCTGACAGGCGCCGTGCGGGCCAGCGGGCGTCACACCTGCAGCTCCGGCGCGTCCTCCTCGGCGGCGTGCCAGTCCACCGCGTCCTCCTCGTCCTCGCTGTCGGTCTGCGTGTCGGCGTGCGTCGCCTCGGTCGAAACGACTGTGCCGTCGCTGCGCACGTACGCCGCCACTTCGTCCGGCAGCGGCAGCCACACGCTGACAAAATGGCTCACATGAGGTCACATGCCACACTACAGTGTGGCTGGTACAAGGTCACACCTTTCATTACAGAGTGGCTCACATAAGGTCACACCCTGCATTACAGAGTGGCTAACATGAGCTCACACTCTGCATTACAAAGTGGCTCACATGAGGTCACACCCTGCATTACAGAATGACTGACACAAGGTCACACACCACCCTCCAGCATGCTACTGAGTGGCAATGCTCATGCTATACACCATGGTCTCATGCCCCTGATTTTTGGTGACTGTGTTGCAGCATAGCAATTGATGAGGCAGTTTACTTTGCAGTGTTGGTGCCAACAATGATGGGGCTTAGGGCATTGGTAGCACAGTGGCCTAGCTGAACATCTGGGAAAACAAAGGTACAGGGTTTGATTCCTGCAGTGGCTATTCCCCAACCAAGGTGAGAGGCAGGCCACACCATATAGCCTCAGAAGCTGAGTGCCTGAACAACTGACAATGATGGGGCTCAACAAAACATGCAACACCTCAGGTTGTTTAATGTCATAACCTCTCAGACCAATCACTATGGCAGGTGATGAGGTTCTTGGCAGGAGGCAGATCTAAACTCTGCCCATGATTCTATGCACAGATGCTGAATGAATAATATCCCAACTAGCCTACACAGATCCATCAACACATCCTGTACTCCAGCCTAGAGTAACATGCAATGCCCATCTGAGTGAAAATGCTGAATAAATAAATGTAAGGTTTGGTTCCCAGAAGGACTGGGATGACAAATAAAATAAATGGTTTCCACTGGTCTTGAGTTTTCATGAGCATTTGAATCCCAAAAATGCTAGTGGAATCTGACCTCATATGTAGTCAGCATTGATATGCTGATACATGTGACAGAGCATTACCTTTTCATGGTAACTTTCTCAAATAATGGATACCAGCTGCTGAAGGAGCATGCCAGCACATCAGAAACTTTTCTTGTATGCTCCATCTTGAAGCAGTCAGAGCAGTTGGCTGGTATACAATCTTTTGATAATCTGGAAAGAGTTAGTACAGTTGCATGAAAACATAGTTATATGTAGCACAAGCAAACAAACCCATTTGTGTGGCATTCTTGCTAAACTGGCAAACTTGGCGGTAGTCAGGTGTTTTACAAATAATAACAGCATGTGTTATTGCTGTCTGGAGGATATACTTACCATATATGTGAATATAGTTTAAAGCATTCAGAAAGGTACATCTGTAAACTAAGAATCACAACAAATGCAAAACATGACCTTCTGAATGGAGCCAATACCATACCATGTGATCAAGAGCTTAAAATGATCCTGTTGAGCAACAGTCTCACCAGCAGCCTGCTTGGTGTACACATAGCACAGCAACACAGCTGTGCTGAAACATGCTAACAGTGCAGCCACCAAGTCCCATGTAAGATTACAACACAGAACTGGCCAAATACAATGGAAGTCCTAATTTGGATGGTCAGTTGGTCATATCTATCCCTGGTATCCTGGTTTTCATCTCCCTGGAGGTGGCACACCAATAAAAGCAGTGTTTTAGTCCATTATATTCAAACTGGGGACAAAATGTAAGCATACTGATGCTTTGGTTCTCAGGTAGTTGTTGGGCTCATAAGTGCCTTTATAAAGCTGGAATCATATGCTCATACCATAAGGAGACAGAATTACACAAGTTCCTCTTGGAAAAACCTAGCTAATTCATTCAAAACACTAGAAAATGACACGATGCTGATAGGGCCCTTCAACTGATTCATACCCAGTACTCAACCAGCATGAAAGGGAGCAATCAACACTCACATGGGGTTTTGAACTGAAATGAAATTGACATTGTCAAAACATGACACATTGGGAAGCATATGTAATTAACAGAAAATTTTGCTTCCTAGAGCAGTCTCATCCACTTAAAAGTATACCAATAGTTACAAGTGATCATGTTTAATCATATCTGATGATTGCTTAGATACCTCGAAATGTGAAACATTCCTTGTAAAACACAAATGCACAGTGATGTTGGTAGGCACAGACTACAGCCCAAACTTGTGCCTGAACCCAATGGGTGAATCTAGGATCCCAAAGAGTTTCATGTCAATGGAAACTTGTGACGCTTTGGGGCCCTAGCATACAACCACCACCCACATCTCACCCGTTTCAAATGAGGGGCTCGGCTCCACAGCAGAACATTGTACGCCACAACCGAACCATCTGCGTCATAAACCCCCTTCATCCGTGTACCAAAGAACTGGGTTTGGGCTAAAATCAAGGCATAAATCATTATTTTATTTCACTTAAAATGAAACATTGGAGCTCGCATAGCTAGTCTCCTATGTGTTTTATGATAAAAACTTTCTTAGAATGTCAAATAATTTTTATTACGTATTTTTTGTTTAACTTGTAATGCCCATTTTGACATGCTTCTTTAAACGTAAAGCTATTTATGTTATCGCCCTTCACGTCCGTCATATCGGTAGTTTGTAACTAGTGCGAAGGTGTAGTACATATTTCTCGACGACGGTCGTTGTTGGCGATGCCGAGGGGCAGAGGTCGGTGGCTCAGGGGCATTGCGGTAGTTGTAGTTCCCCGAAATTGATCCCTGCGCGAAACGCAATGTAGGGATGCCATGTGATCTTCGTCTACCGGTGCCTGTTTTTGAATCTGATCGTAAATCTGGCAAAATTGGTCAAATACTACCCAAGCGTTGCCTAGTAACAAGACAACAGACGGGCTCATAATCCAAGGAAAATGGTTTGCGGATGGATGAGAAGGTAAGTACAGCAGTCTGCAGAAGGTGGCACACAAGTCGATGAGATGTTTGGGACAGGCCCAATCATGTCTCAAAGGGGACAACTAACTTTCCTGCATGGGGCAAGGCTGGTGATCTGGCAAGGGGAGAAGATGATCTCAATGGTTTTACAGGAAAGCTGATTGTGATATAATGACTACCTATCACCCCTGATTTTGTGCTCATCACAGCCAGAATGGAACTGAATTTACCATGCATCATTTTGCATTATGTTTTTACTTTATGAAATTTACAACATGTAAATGTGATAAAACAACATGTTATTCACAGCGAGCAGTGGAAGCTGCCACAAACTCAGCGAGCTGCCACAAACTTCTCAGCTTGTGCATTATTTTTGCCAGTGCTTCCATGGAATGGTTGAAAGTCTGACTACAGAGCTTGTAAGGACAGCTGCATACTCAGTCTAATGGGATAAAATGGTAGCTATGAAAACATCTATGATATAATGGAGGCAAATGTAGATCATTACGCCTTTGAACTTCCAGTTTCAATCAGTGACTTTGACATTTTACTATGCTTATAGTGAGGCACACATCTGTGCTCTCAATCATGTGTAATAATTACAATTGCATATACATCATCTTCAGCTCATTCATAGTCTTATTGTTAAGTAAGTGGCAGCCCAAATCATGGCATTCAGACATGCTGCACCAGGTAGCACTTACCCATCAGCATGTACTTATCTGCAATACAAACTGATACCAAAGATGAAGGGAGACTTGTTTACCAGTGTGGGAACTTGGTGGGACATAGGTACAAAAGCTGAAGATGATTTTATAAGATAAAGGGATGTCTCTTTAGTCTTACTGTACATCTCTGGTTTTACAACCTACACAGTTATACATGCATTATAAATATCATAGTCATGCATAGGAATATAGCAAGTTTGCTATTTGCATAAGCCCTGCAATATATTGAGTTGGTGAATGCATGCAACTTTGTTTTAGATAGGTGATTCATCAGACTAATGCTTGACATCTGTACATTGATCATTCCTTTCCAAAATTGTCATTGAATAAATGCCCCAAGTATTTTTCAGTCATTCAAGATGCCAGCAATAATGTTCTAGGCACCAATTTCTGTGCAAATAATTGAGAGCAATGAGTTCCATTCACTTTGCAAATACTCCAGTGATACAATCATCTAGTATCGATATCCAGATTGAGTACCTTCATTATGGTTATCTCACATCACATAATCACACCACATTGTGCACATGATGGTCACATCATGATCATCACACATCAATGATAAGATGATTTAATCACAGCACCACACCTTGCTGAGTGATGTGCTGACAGAAATGTATGTGTCACAGCAGGATGTGTGGAGGGATGACAACCTGCCACAAAGCCAAGAGAGCAAGTGATCAGGTGCTTGAGAAATTGATGTTTTAAAAATTAAATGATTGAGACCAAGTGATTGTGCTGTGCTGTGCTGTGTGGCAGTGCTATGTCTTTGGGCAGTGCCATCTTGTTGGGAACTTTGAGCTTGCTATGGATCAGTTCCTTCCACTGCAGATTCATCTAGAATTCCATTGGTCCCAAAGTGGGCATGACCAAGAGCTCCAAGTCTTGGCTGCTGATTGGTCTTCCTTATCAGACAAAAGAGCAGTTTTTCAGTTGTTGCTATGCATAACCAGGGTGCTGCAATGTTGCAGATTCTTTTTGGGCTAAAATATGATGTTCCTTGCTTTCACTTCCCTATCCCTGATATCCCCTTCTTGAAACAGACCATCATGAAAATGCTTCCATACACCTTGACTAGGTCTTTATGTTAGTCAAGGACATGCATGCAGACTGCTCCTGATGGTACATCAAACATCAAAGTTGCATGCTGGTTCTGAATATAGGTGTGCTTAATTAAAATGTTCATTGACCTGCAGTAACTAAAAAATGAAACCTGGGTTTCTTGTTTTTGTGCAGCATGCTAAATGGTTGGCTCCTACACAGCAGGTTCTGACATTTTCTATTCCCATTGCCCCAGTCAGGTGATGTTTGGGAAATATGGTTCAATTCCCACAACATTTCTTTTGTCAGCCAATGTCATTGTGTCAGCAGGTCTGGATTACTTCCAACCCTGATGCATAATGGCTTCATTGTTTCATGTAGTGGGGTGTGTAATTGTGAGTGTTTGTGTTTGGCTGATGACAGGCCTTTCCTTGCAGTGCAACAGCAAGGAGCACCAGTACCAGCACCACAAAGGCTGACTGGAAGTTGGACCACACAGGACTACACTAGAGGGCACTACACCACAGCCGACTGCACCACAGCTGACTGCACCGCGGCCGACTGAAGTACGGTGGACTGCACGACAGCAGACTGCACGACACCAGACTGTACCACAGGCCACAGCAGTGCCATGAGGGTAAGTGGCTTCCTGTCCCTGCTGGACTCTGTCAGCTGCTTCAGTGTGGCGTTCCGCTGCCTGACCACGAAGAGTTTGACCGTCGTGAATGTTCGGGCTCTGTCGGGTGTGTGCTACGCACCTGACAGAGCCCGAACATTCACGACGGGTTAGCATATTTCCATGGGCTCTAATATAACTAGGTATATATATATATATAGTGAAATTTCCACTGGGCTGAAAGGTAAGGAGCGGGTTAGCATCTTGGAGCATCTTAGAAATCTGTGTTTCAACATCGACAATCCACAATGTTTATGTCGCTAGCTTACTTATTATGTAAACAACATACCCGAACTGTCTGTTGGGGGTAGACGAACGGAGGCACGGAGTTGCCATAGACAGTATCTTTTTCAGTGGTGTATGCCACTAGGCAGGACCACTGTAAGTTCCTCACCCTCCGCCGCACCGAGTTTCCGGCGCCGCCTGCTGTGCACAGGGAGCGGGCGGCGGCCGCTCGCACTGCCGTTCAAGTACGTTCAAGTTCAAGTTCGCCCGGCTGCGGTTCAAGCGTGATCGATTCAGAATCGGATGCGCAGAGCGCAATGTCGATTCTGACCGCGACTTCGAGCGAAAGGGTGCGTGCTGAGTCTGCTCTGTTTCCGACTCCTAGAGGTTTGACTCGATCCCTGGGTCGATTCCCTTTGAGTCGGGTTCGTGGGGTGATGGGGGCACTACGCGCGTATGACAACTGTGTGGTCCATGTACGCGTGTGCCTGCGGCCTAATAATTGCCATTTTTATTAGGCAAAATATTCGGCCTTTTTTAGTGCTGCTTATGTTTGTTGGATTGGTAGCATTGTAAGCCATGCGGTGTCATTGAACGAAGCCCAACATTTATCAGTGTATTCACCTAGCATGGTTCGTAGCCCTGCGGTTCAGAAAGGGGTCAAATGCTATAATCCTTCCCTTCCCCGGATACGGCACATCTACACGCCTGCCTTCTAGCTGCTGGTGCGCTGGCCGCCGTTATCGTCGCACGGCGGCCGGTCCGGCTGATCAGGCCATCTCTGACTCACCCCTGTGTCCCCCGGTTATCGCGCCGATGCTGAGTGTGCGGAATCAGCCGGGTCCGAGCATTAGTGGCTGTTCATGTGCACACAGCGGGGTTTTCCAGGGCTGGTGACCCGTGCACTCTCGTTGTGGCGAGGCTGTTGTGCTCTGTGTGGATGGTGCGTCATCATTTGCCGGCGGGAAACATGAACATAGTTACACCAAACAGTATGCAGAGTCTTTGTGTCAAAGGCATTGGTGGTCGGGGTTAACGAAGACAAAGGGCGTAAAAATGCAGGTGACACAGCGCTTGAGATTGTCGGCGCCTCGTATCGCCACTCGTGCCGGATTATTTTGTTTATGCTGTTGTGGTCGACCGCTCTGCACTGCGTCATGCTGTATCGCTGTTGTGCGCGCTGCCAGCTGTACATCACTGTCACTGTCCGGCAGGACTCAGAGTCGGAGTCGGAGGACGGCGGCCGTGCCTCGCGGCGGGCGCGCTCCGTGACTCCAGCCGTCCACCGTCACTTCAACCAGCCGTTGTCCGTCTCCATGGCCGCGCTCAGCATCTCAACATCGGACCTGCGCGGCGGCGGCCGGCCGGCGCGCGCGGCGCCCGCCCTCTGCACGCGCCACCGGCCGCCGCTGCTCTGCGACCGGCGCTCGTGCCAGGCGCTCCACCTCTGCCGTCTGTACGTGGACGGCTTCTGCCCGCGCGGCGACGCCGCCTGCCGCTGGGGCCACGCGGTGCTTTCGGCCGACAACTGGGCCGCGCTCGAGGCGTTCCAACTGCAGGCGCTGCCCGAGCGGGAGCTGCTCTGGCTGGTGCGCGCGCTGCTGCGCCGCACGGCGCCCGTCTCGGCTGACGAGTACCAGCGCGAGCTGGCGCTGTGCGCTGAATACGCCGCCGCCGCCGACTGCCAGCAGGCCGACTGTTTCCGGCTGCACCTGTGCCCGCGCCTGGCGGCCGGCCGCTGCCAGGCCGGCGCCTCCTGCCGCTGGAGCCACCAGCTCGACGACCCGGACAACTGTGATGGTGCTGCTGCGGCTGCGGTGCGCCGAACTGACCGAGGCAGAGGTGCTGGCCCGGCTGGCGCGGCCGCCGGACGACTCCGACGGGGTGGACGGCTGGTCCGACGGCGCCGGCCCGCCCGGCGCCGCGGCAGACGGGCCCGACGGTGTCCGCTCGCGCGACGTTCCAAGCCGACCGCCGACCGACGCCGGCACCGGCCGCGGCGAGACCACGCAGGCCACCCGGAAACCGCCGGCCGCCAGCGACGTGGAGAGCAGCGTGGACGGCGCGTCCACGACATCGCACACCACCTCCGATCGTTATACGAGCGGGCAGGAGTCAACCCCCCGGCCGGTGGCCCACCCTCCGCCCACCGGCGACACGCCGAGGCCACCGGCCGACAAGCCCACGGCAGAGGAGATGCAGGTCGCGGCTGCGACGCTTGATATCTGCCGGCGCAACGTCCACCCGTCGGTGTGCCAAGGCGAGGCGTGTGGCAAACTGCACCTGTGCCGCTTCTTTGCGGCTGGAGTGTGTCCGTACGACGTGAAATGCAGAAGCGGCCACACCCTCAAGGCGTCAGACCACAACATGCGCGTGTTGCACAGTCACCAGCTGCAGTCGATCAGCGAAAGGGATCTGGTGAACGCTCTCCGAGATGGATACCTGGTTCGACACCCGCTGACGAATTCGGAAAGACACTTCCTGCTTCAGATATGTCGTCCGTACCAAAGATTTTTCTGCAAGGACGCCAACTGCCATCGTCTCCACGTGTGCAGCGAGTACGTGGCCGGGACCTGCGAGAGCAGCTCCGACTGCGGTCTGTCCCATCAGCTCAACAGCCCAGCCAGCGCCACCGTCGTGCGGCGCCTGGGCCTCAGCTCGCTCCAGGCCGGAGACCTCATCGAGATTCTGAATCACCCTCTGAGCGCCAAGGAGGTGTGGCGCAGCTGGGGATGCTCCCCGGTCGCCTCTCCACGCCGGTTCTCTGGCGCCGTCGAGTGTGCTCCGTCCGACAAACGTGGCTCGGCTGCCGGCGAGCACCTGAGAATCCGCAGGCCCTCTAGCGGTGCGTCGACAGATTCATTGCGGACCACTGGTGCTCTGTCACTGCCGGCTGCCGTTCTGTCGCCTTCGGTGTCCGCTCCGTCGCAGCCGGCGACCGCTTCGTCGCAGCCGGCGGCCGCTCCATCGCCGCCGACCGCTCCGTCGCCGCCGACAGCTGCTCCATCACCGGCGGCGGTCGCTCCTTTACTGGCGTCTGGCACTCCGTCACCGGCGGCGGCCACTCCGTCACCGGCGGCAGCTGCTCCGTCACCGGCGGCGGCGGCTTCGTCACCGGCGGCGGCTGCGCCGTCACCGGCGGCGGTCGCTCCTTTACTGGCGTCTGGCACTCTGTCACCAGCGGCGTCCGCTCCATCACCGGCGGCGGCCGCTCCGTCACCGGCGGCGTCCGCTCCGTCACCGGCGGCGTCCGCTCCGTCACCGGCGGCGGCCGCTCCGTCACCGGCGGCTGCTGTTTCGTCACCGGCGGCGGTCGCTCCGTCACTGGCGGAAGCCGCTCCTTCACCGGCGGTGACCGCTCCTTCACCGGCGGTGGCCGCTCCTTCACCGGTGGCGGCCACTCCTTCACCGGCGGTGGCCGCTCCTTCACCGGTGGCGGCCGCTCCGTCACTGGCGCCGACCGCTCCATCACCGGCGGCGGTCGCTCCGTCACTGGCGGGGGCCGCTCCTTCACCGGCAGCGAAGACTTCCTCATCGGTGGCGGTCGCTCCGTCACTGGCGGGGGCCGCTCCTTCTCCGGCGGTGGCCGCTCCTTCACCGGCGGTGGCCGCTCCTTCGCCGGTGGCTGCCACTCCCTCACCGGCAGCGGTCACTTCGTCATCGGCGGCGGTCGCTCCGTCACTTGCGGAGACCGCCCCTTTACCGGCGACTGCCGTTTCATCGGCGGCTGCTGCCGCCCCGGCGCTATGCGACGCGCACTCGTCGGGCGGCCGCTGCGAGGAGAAGGAATGCGACCGATTCCACGTGTGCGGCTACTTCCTGGCCAACCTGTGCCGGCGTCCGCGTGCCACGTGCGCGATGGGCCACTCGTTCGAGACGGAGCACAACCTGGGCGTCATGAGACTGCACGGCCTGCTGGGCGGCTCTCCAGAGGAGTTCCAGATGCTGCTGGACAGGATCACGCTGCAGGAGCGGATCACCTTCCAGAATGGGGCCGAGAAGAAGGTGCAGATGTGCATACCGTACAACTCTGCGGGCGGCTGCACCAAGGCCGGCTGCTGCGGCCGCTTTCACGTTTGTCACCGGTTTTTGGGTGGTACCTGCGTCCCGGGTGAGTGCCACCTGAGCCACAGTCTGGGCGGTCAACACAACAGGCTTGTGCGTGACTTGCTGGGCCTGCCGGAGTTCGGTGCCGGCGAGGCGGCCGTCTGGGCCACCAACGGTGACCTGCTAGAACTGCTCCGGGCCAAGATGGGCCTGCAACCCAGCACGTGTGCGAGGTCCGTGGGCGTGCCGTCCAAGCCGGCCGGCACCGTCGCAAAGCCCGCCGGTGCGGCTGTAAAGGCTCAAGATACGCAGCCCAAACTTGCGGATGTGCAGTCAACACCAGCAGATGCGCCGCCCAAGCCGGCCGCCGCGCAGCCAAAATCGCAGGGTTCGAGTCAGGGTGCTGGAGCGGGCGCGGAGGCGCGGCCGGCGGTGTGCCCGCGGTACAGCGCCGGCCTGCCCTGTCCGGAGGGCGCCTGCGCCGCCCTCCACATCTGCCCGCACTACGTGGCCGGCGCCTGTCGCCGTCAGACGTGTAACAGAGGCCACGAGCTGACCTCGGCGCACAATCGGCACGTGCTGGAGACCAGCGGGCGCGCGGCCATGGACAGCAACCGGACGGCCCTGCTCGCAGCGCTGCGCAAAGCATCACCGCACATCAGGAGCGCCGAGGTGTATAGCAGGCTGCGCATCTGTATCCCACACAACCACAGCGAACGTTGCGCTAACAAGCAGTGCACGTATATCCACATATGCCAGAGATTTGTGGCTGGCTCGTGCCAGCTTGCGGAGGATGGGTGCGATCGCGGCCACCGAGTGCAGACGCCGGGCAACAACGTTAAGCTACGAGCCCTTGGCTTGGAGGACGCGTCAGAAGATGAAGTCCGTGAGCTGCTGCGAGCCATCCACGGAGTCCGCTCTTGCCATACGACCTAGGCTTGACGTAAGAATTCCAGAGTGCTTGTACTACTCGAGATGTGGTCCTGGAAAGGTCGCACATCGTATCTTGCCACATTGATCCAGCAGCTCGTGCCGTCAACCCATCGAGAGGCGTCATCCGCTGACCAATCTCGTCTCGAGAAATGGGAGTGCCCGCTACGTGTTCCGCAGTTAGCCAACCCTCAACTACGTGCTGACCTTAACTGGCCACGAATGAGTACACGAAGAAGGGCTAGGTCCTCTTCGGATAGCTTTCGCCTCAAATGAGTGGCAGTTCTTGTCAAATGCATCTGAGGATTCTGCCTCCAACTTGAGACCAACTGTATCTGGGAAGCCTTACTGATGCTGGGTGTGCCTGTGGTAATTTTGGCTCAGATCTATAGGATATTTTGAAAACTGACCCCTAGAATACCCACCGATTATAAGCCAGCTCACCAGGAGCCTGTTCCTGTTTGAAAATATTCATTCTAAGCGGACATTTATAGCATTAGGATGGGATGGCGTGTGATATACTCCAGGGGAGTTCCGAAAAGCGTGTTTTGTGCCAAAAACTGCGGGACTGCAGGCTGTGGCCTTCGAACTTGTTACCCACAATGCTTGGACTTCGCGAAGTTCTGCCCGCGTCCTTCCACGTCATCGCGCTTGGGTTTGGCGGCAGATGGGTCCAGCCGTTGCTAAAGTTATTTGGTTCTGTCGTCCTGTTGAGGTGTAAATGTTGCAGTTGAACACCCCGTGAATGCATAAGGGCGGTTTTATCACTCCTGGGCACAGTTGAAATGTGCGCACAGTAGGTCCACAGGGCACCATGGTTTTATTTACTTAAACAGTAGAGTTGTAGCATGGTAGGAGTTCGCTATCGTTAGGCATTTGCGATTTTTGCGACGCACACTTGATTCGTTTTGCAGCATAGGGGTTTGTGGCAACGTGGGCATTTTATGCACGGATGGATCCAGGGGTAACTCGTGTGCTTTGGCTGATTGTTAGGGACAGTGATAAGTGATGTGATCACATGTTGAACTTGTCTTAAAAATGTTGTACTTTAGATGCGTCCTTTGGGGCTCCTCGCTCTACGCTTTTCACGAAGAAGCATTCTCATATTCCTTTTCGATACTGCTTATGTGGGCCTCTCCCTGACTGTTTGTTTTTTATCATGAAGCTTGGTCGGAATGCGCTTTCTGCCTGTGCTCTGATGTGGATTGATTTTGCTAGTACCGACCGTGTTACTGCACACTACCCTTGCTCCACCATCCAACCAGGTTCTAAGGAGAGGATGAAACCGCGTTTAACATGTGACGATATGGGATGGGTGTAGTCATGTGATTACTTAGCTAGTAGGTTATATTTCACGGAAGGTTTGCGTCATCG